TATCAGTAAAGACTTGGACTTTATTGGCAGAGCATGTATGAAGTTTGAGTAATTTCAGTAAAACGGTTGATTTTCAACTTTTTTCATAGTAGGCGGATGTAAGTCAAATTAGCGGTATTTTCAAGATCTTTATCATGACTACAGATAAGCAGAATTTCAATAAGTTTGGCTCATTGTATTTCAAGAAAATGTGTTTTTTTTTCTAACATGGCTCTAATTTCTTACACACTCATCCAAATAAGCCCAATACCATACCGATAACCAATAAATGGTTGATGACCCAGAAGCCAAAAATTTAGAAATCTATCTTTTTACGTTGTGCTCGTACAGCTGTTTTTCTGAAATGTACGGACAGTTGTACGATCAATTTTAAGATACACTGTATGTCAAACGCTTATGCAAAACTTCAGCGCATTTCTGCCGGTAAAATTGAGCTTTAGGATACTGTCCTCTGATAAATCGATGTATTCTTCATTAGCCTTCGTGGATATATGGGTAATTGTTTCCTTCTGGTTGAAAAAATCAACGAACCAGAGGTAGTTTTCCTATTTTTTTTTTCATTTCTACATCAAAATATTCGCCAAATTTTTTCTTCAAATTTTTCAGGTGCTTCAAAATGCCATTGATGATAACAGATGATGGTTTGACATGCTTTTCAACGATAAGAGTTTCAAGCGACTCAAATCAATCATAATTACGAAACTACAAATGCTTTGATTTTGTCCTGAACGTAAACTATATCCATCGTCGTTGATCCTTGAAGATAGGTATTGAGATGGTTTAAACAGTTTCATAGTCATAATGCTTTCTCACCGTGTTTTGTAAAAAGTGTCGTCGTTTTAAGTTAGTTTTGTACCATTCTTTTTTCTAAATGTTTTCAGAACAAAAATGATGAGTTTATCCAGTATTATGAAACTATGGCTGATTATCTACCACTTTCTAATCTAATCTAATCTAATCTAATCTAATCTAATCTAATACAAACGCAGCCAGTACGAGAAAGCATCCTGGAAAATGATTAGGTTAGATGAGGTCTAATCATTTTTCTTGTCTAATTGATGTTTACAGCATATCTGAGGTATGATATAAACATCAATACGGCCAGGGCTACTGCGTTGTATTTGTCGCAAAGATGATAGTTGGGAATGAATGGGAACATTTCTTGAATCAACAGCGGTGGAAGGATGCGTGGACATACCGTACAAAACGCTCCGAGTTACTATGTGGAGTTGTGAGTAATGTGTAAATATTTGTACAATATTGAAGAATCATAAAATAATGCAATGGAAGGATCTTACCGAAATTTCTCCGATGTTGGTAATGATTCTTTTGCGCTTAAAAGTTTCGTTGGATGCATCCGCTCCTTGTTTATCATGGGGTTTGGGATGAAGTTTCTCGTCATTGCTCGTGGTTATGTTTAGTCCGTCGCGTTTGGACCAGATCCTTAGCCAAAGTCTTGACCGCATCCATCTGATTTTCTTTGGCCAGCTTTTTGATGTCGGCGATGATCTTCTTTTTCTGCTGTTACATTTTCATCTTCTCCAGATTCAAATCCCGCATCGCTTTATTCAGAGCCCGGTGGTTCTTGCGCATCATCTCGTCCGAAAACATTTTCTTACCGAACAGCCACTCCATTTTGCTGGTTGTTTTCCGGATCAAATAGTGGTAAAACTGGTTGAATAAAGCGGAACTTCGGTGGTCTCACAAGCTAATCTTGCACAAAATTGGATTCTTATATGTTTTTCGAATCTGACTCTACTTGTAATCAAAATATCGGTCATAAATGCGCTTGGAAAAAACCTTCTTTCGGCCATAAAAAGAAAAACTATTCTTCAAAAAACTTATCGATTTTCAAAACTGGCAAATCATCTTCAGATAAAATTTGGAAAACCGCGACGAAAACATAATATACGAGCAATTTGACAGCAGATTTTTTTCGCGTCCATTCTGAAGCAGAGCACACTTCGATCTCTGATTATCTACCACTTCCATTGAAAAACTCGGTTTTGACAAAAACGCAAATGAGATCGACTTTCGCTGAGCGGCAGTACAGCAACTCGATCCTAAGTGGCATGATGTGATATGAGGGGCTCGGTGGCCGAGAGCAACTATTTTTGCTCACTGAACAGTACATCATGAGTTTAATCTCATGACCCTCCACATTCAGATTCTTTAGTCACTTCTTTATCCTCACTCCATAATTCAGCGTACCGTTCGCCAAAACGAGCCATGCTGCATACCCAACCCTTTTTTCCAACATTACAACATTGGAAGTGCAGAGAATTTCTCGGCTTCCAACAAAGCGAGTATCACGTCAAAACATTCCTACCCAAGCCTTTCAGTATTGTCGCGCTTAGTACTACTCATGAAGCTATTCCTGCTGAATATAAATGATGTATATGTATGTATGTATGTTAAGGAAACCACTCATTGTTGCAGGCACAATTATTAGACAGTACGACACCTCGTACGACTTTATCAAGTACAACACCTGATTGTATTTACCATTGTATGAAGAGCCAAAAACGGAGGGCGAACCTGTTAGCAGAGACACTTACGCTTAGTCCGCGAGATCAAAGAGAATCTCCTTCCAACAATAACATCCTACAACCCGGTAATGTACAAACCATCGCACGAGGGGATGTCCCAATGAGTGGAGAAGAAGAGCCCGCCTTCAATTCAGGATCTGTTAACGACAGGAAGTTGGCAATTCCACTCTCCCCATCCAAATCGTTTCAATCGGGTGCCCTGGTTAGACCGTACCATACCCAGCATATGTGTCATATAATAATGGAATGAATGTTGCGCGAACAATAAAGGAAAGATCTCACCCGATATGTTGCAAAGGAGTCCATGACTTCACTGAGATTTCGAAGAGCTCCCATAGATTAGAGGACGATTTATATCCTTCTGCAGTTAAACAAAAACTATCGTCTTTGAAAGACTCTCGATAGAACTACACGACGAAAGCATGACATCCCAATACGGTGAACTGGCCTACCAGGAGGCAAAGCAATTCGCAGGCACACTTACAACCGCTGGTTATTAAAAAAAAACACAGCCGTGCAAAGGAACGGATCCAATAAACGTCGGTTTCGCAAAAGCACACCCGTTGTCGTCGTCGAACGGCAAAAAAAGGAATCTTTGGGAAATTTTACTATAGGGAATTTCCACTGAAAATCAACCGGGAATTCACGAATTTCACCAAACCCAACTGCGAAACACGTTCAAAAGCAATTTTGGTTCATTTACGATCGAAAAAACTTTTTTTTTTTCAAAAACAGTTGCGAATGAACCAACATTATAAACTGAAATTAAAAATTATCAGTCGCGATGCCACAAATTTCTGGTCCGGGAGAAAAAATCAAACAACGCAGATAGCGCCAAATCTCCTGGTGCTTGCAAACATGATGAATCATGTTTTCTTTCTCGTGAATATAAATGATGTATAGGCCATACATGATGGATAGTTCAAGATTACATCCTATTTAGAGTAAATATATAGGTAATTGAAATTTATTTTAGTTTTTAGGTATTGTCGGTAAAAGTTTTGTTTTAAAATCAAGTCCAAAAAGCCTTAAGCATGTAGTTTAAAGTGATCAAAAGTGATATATAATTTTAACTATGTCAATTGGATCTGTTTTGCCTTGACTCCAGGAGCTCACGTTGATGTCTGGATTGCAATATTTTCGGTATTCGAGTTGATACGCGCGTGAATCAGGTGAAAGACCTGGGTGTGGTGTTGGATTCACAGCTAACATTCAGGCAACACATTTCTTATGTCATCAATAAGTCGTCTAGGACTTTAGGATTCATCTTCAGGATAGCTTAGAATTTCACCGATGTCTACTGCTTAAAATCTCTTTACTGCTCTTTCGTACGATCGACGCTTGAGTATTGTTCTGTGGTTTGGAATCCGGATTACAACAATGGTGCCGAGAGAATCGAATCTGTTCAACGTCGCTTTCTTCGTTTTGCGCTTCGTAGACTACCCTGAAGAGATCCGCTTCGGCTGCCCAGCTACGAGAGTCGCTGCCAACTGATAAACCTTGAACCTCTCCGGATTAGAAGGGACACCAGCAGAGCTTTGATTATCGCCGACACTCTACAGGGACGAATAGATTGTGAGGCTATCCTAAGGCAAATTGACCTAAACGTTCAACCCCGACCACTCCGTAACAACCTCATGCTGAGACTGCCACTGCGTCGCACGAACTACGGGGCATATGGTGCGATTTGCGGACTACAGCGTGTGTTCAACAGAGTCGCATCTGTATTCGACTTTCACCTCACATGTGATGCGCTTCGTCGGAGATTCTCATCTGTTTTCGCCGGCCGCAGTGACTGACAGAGAAAATAAGTGTGTTTCCATTTATGTTTTTTTTACATTCTGACCATGTTGCTTTGTTTTTCTTTCTGTGATTATTTGACATGTAATTTTACTATTATTATTATTATGATTAGTATTATTAACATCATTTGGGCTACAGCCAGCCTGTTGATGTATGGCAACAATAAACTGATACTGGAGTCCGTGGGTTCCGTATCAAATGAGATTCAATTTACGTATTTTTAAAGAGCTTCTAGCGTTTGAAAGATTTACATTTTAAATTTGATTTTGAAACAAAAGTACTGCCAGCACAAACAACAAAAAACAAAAACCACCCTACTCTGAACAAAACATACGTAATGCATCGGCACAGCAATGAATTCATAAAATCATTATAATTGATTTGGTAAACATCCCCTAATCATCAAGCTAACATTCTCAAATTTGTTGACTAGCATCGGCATGAAAAACTCATCGAACATGCATCGACACTGGTAAAGTTTTTGCTCGCCCTCTGTGGCATTCGCTCGACACGAAACCGAAAACTGATTTATGACTCTGCCACGATTCTGTGGCAGCCTCCCACGCCGAACCCCACAATGTGAATCACATAACATATAGATACGTTGGGCCTGCAGCAGGCGCAGATACTCATCTCATTCAAACTTACCAATTCCGTTCCTGCCAATCAGCGGTCCGATTGCGTTTATTTTATTGGATTGCAAATGCTGCTGCTGTTGGAAATCTGATGACTGCTGAGGCTGCTGCTGCTGCTGCTGCTGTTGATGCATCTGTTGTGGCTGTCCTGGTGACAGCAGACCTCCGCCAATGCCACCGGCACCAGCGACTTGATTGCGAGCCTTCTCCAATAATCTAATATTCTCGGTTTTGTTATTAATTGTGCAAATTTTATCATTCGCAAGTGGTGTTGTGGCATTGCCCGCTCCAGTGTCCATTGGTTTCGACAGAATGATGGCAGTAGCACCATTAGCTACGATGTTCCCGGTTGAGAGCGTTGTCACTGTCGTCGGGGTTGACGTTGACGAGTGCTGCAGCAGACCATCGCTCGATAATGTGGTGACCACTGTGGCAGCTGCTGTCGATAAGAGTGACCCAGCGCTGACCGGTACCGAACTTGATTGGGTGATGCTTGAAATGATAATGTCATTACGGTTCGCTCCGGTAGCCACTAGAGGAGTACTGTCGTTGTTAGATGGCCCTTCCGCTGTTGGTTCGGACGATGCAATCTGTATTTCCGGAAATTTCTTCGGTTTGAACAAACGCATTATGACCGCTCCGGTCAGGCATGCGGGATTGGTTTGCTCGATGATTTCGTCATCTGAAAAAGAAAAGATAATTTGGAGAAGAGGATGATTAGCTTTGAACCCTCTACTAACATTCATTTTAAAATAGCATAAAAGATTTGCGGAGAACCGTTTGGTCAAGGCTCCAACCATTAGCGAATAACAATTTGGCACGGTTTTTACCACCTTCAACACAATTTATTAATTGTAATTGCAAGCACCACAGTCATAAAGAAGAAACGCATGGAACGAACCTAACGGATCCCGATTTCTTCGAAAATCAAGCCCCCCTAATCTATGAGGGAAAAAAACTGAAGATTAATTCTTCTATTGCGAATAGGCTGAAACATTGTATTCAAAATCCCGAGGTGCTAAATCTAAATCTTTTGCGCAGTCCATCCCTTTGGACACCTACTTGTGCTGGTGGCAGTGATTAGTCCTACCACCGCGCCCGCTCAGGTTCGGGTTGTGCGGGGGAAGCATTCATGCTGTGTCAATAGCGAGCACACACCACACTTCATCGGAATGTATTTTACAGTTATCCTCGGCAGCTGTCGGCAGGCATGGCAAGAAGACATCAGTCAGCAGCATCGGGCAACATACGATCCAAGACGTTCACCAGACAGCAGTGGCAGAAGCCAGCGATCAGCCTTCTTGGGGCTTCTTCTCTTTGTGACCACACGGTGTTAGATTCCTAAGTCGGGGTGTTTCAGTTTCGATCTTTTCTCTAATGATCGTGGCACAGATTAGCGAAGCTGCCGGCCTGTCGGTGTAACTCATGCATTGCTGACTCATCTGCACGGGCCTGTTAAAGGTGGGGCACTGGAGGAATGAGATTAACAGTGGACAGGGAAGGAAAGCACTGGCTCGTGTCTAATAAAGTGGTGAATTGATAAATTACGGGGAGAAGCACATAAGACTTTGTCAGGCTGCAGATTTTATGTTGTAATTTTCGGATGGGCAGCGCTTGGACAAGAACATAAATAACGGAATTTTAAGGTATGAGACAATTATTTTATTTGATACTATAATTGAAGAGGGACATTTTTTAATATATTATATGTATATAGGAATTACATCATAGGGAGGTCACTATTTGAAAGACTTCAAATGTCTTTAGGTGGCTGTAATAATAAAAAAAAAAATGCAGACGAAAGGCTTAAGGTGATCATTTTAAGCCCAACATGGTGGTATGCAAAAAATGCAAGGTATGCATGGTATGCAATAATAGGCATTCGAATATTTCATCAACGAACGATTTCAAAATAAATCAAGCAAAAGAAAATAAATCAAAGGAAATAGATTTTAACTGAGCAGGAGCATGAGCATATTGACCACCTGAAGTTGTTACTCCGTAGATCAGCTGTAATTACACAGAGAACACACAGATGATGCTAGGAACTAGCAATTATCCTCAATGTGTAAAAAAAAATGGTGATCAGAAATTAATACCAGTGCCAGCCACGTCCGAAAGCCAAGACATCCTCTGCGCTTCCATGAAAAATCACTGGAATGCTGGAAACCTTACCATACCTTAATTTTGTTGCTAAGGAATCCAATTTTGACTGACAAAGTGGCGCGCCTTTGGAGGGTGTTTCAACACTCCGAAGGGTATAAATAGCGGAACCTTTCAATTTGAGTCGGATCCTTGCGATAAATGCAAGAGTGGCAACTGTAAAAAATCGAATACTTCATCATTTCTCAATAGTGATGGAGTAATATGACGTGCACTAAACTAAAGACACGGGATATACTACAATAGATCAATTTACTGGTCGCAGTAGTGTTTGGTTCCGAACAGAGGAAAAAAAAAATCTCGATTAAACCACTAGTAATCGGTCCACCCCTACTAGGCGTAGTATTAAGTTATTCTGGTTAAACTACCCAGGTAACAATTTGATGCTTAACAAGTGTTGTTTAATCGATTTTAATTCAGCCTTAGATTGAATAATTGCTGTACATAGACCACGTTAACCTTTGTTCAGCTTTTAAACATCTAAATCTGGTGATTTTAATCAGCCACAAGCTGAACAGTAATGTACATTATAAGCTTTTTAAGGCATTACATAACAGTCTTTTCCAACCCTTGTTCAGCCTTCTAGTTTTATTTCAAAAATAATAATGGAAGACCACTTCATATCTTATGCATTTATATGGAACTGCTTTAAATTTTTGCTGACTAATTGAATTTACATATTTATGTTGTTGATATAAGTTTAAAAATTACCTTTGGATTTTGGGATTCGAACCGGCAGTCGCTGAATCACAGGCGTCAACCATACCTACTGGACCATTTAAGCATATGTGTGGCAAAAGGTATGACCATTAACTTGAAGCACGTCAAATTTAAGTTGAATAACAGCATCCGGAAGAGTATTATACAGCAATGCAGAATTGTAAACAACAACTAATATTTTTGAAACTCAGACAAAACACAGGAATAAAAATGTTTACTTGTCGCAGCCCACATCTACCAGCTATTCCTAAAAATCTCCTTTCCTTGTCTCTACTGCTGCCACTGCTTGTAATTAGAAAGGTAGGCAGTGAATTTAGAAGAACTAAAATGTCGGACATGCAACGAGGGACACAGACACTGACGACATTTAACAAATCAAGCTATCAAAATATGTGTAACGCATTGCTGATTTGTGGAGTTGTGTTAAGCTCAAACAAGGCTTGTTCAATCTTTAGATCAGCTAACTTATTGAGGTTGGACTATGGGGGTACAATTCGCTTCATGCACTACTAATCAACTATATATTCAACGGCGCCGGTGGTGTAGTGGTAAGCGTGATTACCTCTCACCCCAGCAGGCCTGGGTTTAATCCCAGTCGGCGCCGCCGGGATGTTCTGAGGCATAACATCACTGATCACGCCTTCCTTCGGATGGGAAGTAAAGCCGTTGGTCCCCGGTTCATGAGTTGATGGGTCGATAGGTAGGGTCCAGGTGTGGGAGCTGCCTTCCTGGCACGTCGGTAGCATTGGTGCTCAGCACGGAAAACAAGATCGATGGAAAAAACAAACCAAAGGAAAAAAAAAAAAAAAAAACTTTATATTCAGCCTGATGTTAATCAGCTTTGTACACCTTAAATCAACCAATAATCAGCTTCTGTTCTTAATGTTCAGCTTGAATTGTTACTTGGGTACATACAATCACATAACATATGTGGAACTTCATGCAAAATAACTGACTAAAAGTTTACCCCTTTTTTGTGTTGCCTCAGTGGTATAACTGGTATAGTTGGCCATCGATCTGTCAAAACAAAACTTTCATGATATCGACACTGAGCGTTCACATAGACCAATGTCGAAAACATAAACAATGGCTTCTTCCGTAAAATTCTCGTAGCTCAAAGTCAATCCATGTAAGCCACCAATACTATCGAATATGGGGTTTACTTGAGTGGTTTTCCATTCTCGAGAAATTCGCGGAAAAAGTCATTGTTTTCGTTTGCGACATTGACTCTTATGAAATGCTATGGTTGCATACTCAGTAAGCATTGAAGTGGACGCCGACTCGGCAACTCTTTACTCCTATGGTAAAATCCCAAAAGGATTTGACAATCTGTGCATGCTATCTAACGAACTTTGTCTTGTCTCTTCACTCCACCATGATATCAGTGAGGCACCGTCTCTTCACGCAAAGCTTGACAGGATCTTATGAAATTTTCATAGGAGTGAAAGGGAAATTTCCACCATGTTTCATGCACACACAGACGTTTGCTGAGGGAGATTAACTATAGGAGTAAAGAGTTACAGAGTGCCGAAAAGGCTATTTGCAGGTTTCAAGGTAACGCGGTTCTTCTTTTTTCGACTAGTGACAACCCAACTAACAATTTTAGCTGCAGATTAGCTTATACAGCCAAAAATTGGCTTATATAATTAATTTTTGCCTGTATAAGCTAGTCTGCAACTAAAATTGTTTGTTGGGAAGGGGCTTATCAAAGGATTTTTAACTAGTATCTTCAAATCTATCAGAAGCCAATCAAGAGCGTTACTAACCAGTTTTTTTTTATCGATACAATGTTCGATCATATCTTTTGTCATTAATCTACGCAAATAAAACCATGGAATTTTATTTCACATTTGATTTAAGCCCTAGGGTCAAAAACTGTGCCACCAGTGTCAAAACTGGTACACTTTTCTTTCATTCCAATCAGGTTAAGGCCTTGTTGTCCTCTGCTGTCCGAAGAAGTCGTCTCCACTCTACTCGATCCATGGCCACAGTTCGCCAGCCTCGTAGTCTGCGAAGGGTCCGCAGGTCACCTTCTACTTGGTCGATCCACCTTGCCCGCTGCGCGCCTCTTCTTCTTGTTCCTGTTGGGTCGCTTTCTAGAACCATTTTCACTGGGTAGTCGTGCGGCATTCTTACGACGTGCCCAGCCCACCGTAGTCGCCCAATTTTTGCAATGGGGACGATGGATGGTTCTCCCAGCAGCTGGTGCAATGCGTGGTTCATTCGCCTCCTCCACGTTCCGTCATCCATCTGCACTCCACCGTAGATGGTACGCAACACCTTCCGTTCGAAAACACCAAGGGCGCGTTGGTCCTCTACGAGCATAGTCCAGGTCTCGTGGTCGTAAAGGACCACCAGTGTAATCAGCGTCTTGTAGACAGTCAACTTCGTGCGGCGGTGAATTTTATTCGACCGGAGCGTCTTCCGGAGTCCAAAGTAGGCACGATTCCCTGCCATAATGCATCTTTGAATTTCTCTGCTGGTATCATTTTCGGCGGTCACCAGTGAGCCCAAATACACGAACTCATCGACCACCTCGATTTCGTCACCGTCAATCTGAACTCGGGGTGGGAGGCTAACATTGTCTTCCCTACAACCTCTTGCTTTCATGTATTTTGTCTTTGATGCGTTGATGGCAAGTCCAATCCGTCTAGCTTCAGCCTTCAGTCTGATGTACGTTTCCGCCATCATCTCAAAGTTCCGTGCCATAATGTCAATGTCATCGGCGAAACCAAGGAGCTGGATGGACTTCCTGAATATCGTGCCACTCGTGTCTATCCCAGCTCTTCTGATCACACC